ACCATCACTCTGCAAGACAGCGAATTCCCCAAAATGTCAGACTTCTCCTTTTAGACTTAAAGTCCAAACCCTGTCCCCAGACAACAACTTTAATATTGGGCAATTCTGCAAAAGCCTGGATTACATTCATCTATTCCAGGTCATCTATTCTGACTTCCTGGACAAAACCTCTGATACACATCCAATATAACGTAAACCCCAGAGAGACTGGAGTCAAACCCCCGAAGAAGTGATGAACCCTCATGAAAATACCAATTTAATAACATCAAAAACGCGAGGTGTCCCATACAATTGTGTTCCTCAGCCAAAAGGACAATGCTGCCTTATGTTGAACTTCTTTTGAACTAAAAATGAATACATGAAACTAGGATTAGATAATCTGATTTCCTTGCTGATGCTGGGGCATGTTTGACCTTATGAGGTTTTGATCTTGTGATCATAAATTCTGACCCCTTTGAAATGGCGTCCTTTTAAACAGAATTGAACTTTAACACCAGCCCTCCTCCCCCAACCTTCATTTAAAATTGAAGGGGGGGATGTCATCTGCACCGTTTGTGTTTTGTTCTGACCTTGAGAGGCCAACCATGTGAGGGAGGAGTGATAGTGCAGTCAAATGTTGACATCTGTGTGTCGTCAGTTTCCAGTGCTATAATGTCTGGTTGAAGTGTCTGTGATATGACGGGTGTCAGGTTTCTCCTGTTAACAGTGGAGCGAACTCTCTGACCAGTGTGTGTGTGGACAGCACCAAAAATAAAGGAAATAATAACGTCTACTGCAGCTCTGGAGCACCCCTCCTTCCTCCTTATCCGTTTGAACGTCCTCTAGCTGTCCATCCCATCCAAGTAATCAGCATCCTTCAAAGGAGCACAGCCAAAGCTAAAGCCAACTCAAACAGAGAGTGTGTCCTAATCAGGGCCATGAAGAGCCGGGCTTACGGAGCCCCCCCCCCCCCCCCCCATTACTGGGCAGCCATGGGCTCAAGATTAGAGCCTCTTTCTGCATTAGCCATTCAAATTTTGCATTAATGTTTGAAAGAGAAAAGGAAAATGCCTGCTCTTCATGGATAGATTAGTATTTGATGGCACAGAAATGTGAAAACATCGGCAGTAATACGTGAGTGAGCCGGTGTGTCTGTGGTGGCTCTGTGTGTGTTGTTTCAGACACTTGTACATGTATCTCATGTATGTCAAAACTCAACACAGTTGTGATTCTGTGCTAAAGCGTATTTTTTACCCAAATAGGTCTCTTGATTTATGATGTTTAGGGACGAGCCTGTGTGTGCTTCAGAAATAGGAGCTTCTTGTTTCAGGGGCACTCACTGAATGCTTGCCTGTCTGTCAGTAAGTCTGCACAGTACATAGGTCAGTGTTTTATGTGAGTGAAGAACCAAGTAATGTCTGGGCCTCCATGAATCTGCCATCTCTAACTGCCTGCTGCTCTGCAGAGCTGCTGCAGGTGATCCAGCCTGATAACCACACAGCAGTGACGACCACAGCTTGTGACGTATTCAAATAGTTCCATAATGTCTTCAACTGGCACAAATTCTCTTGCCACTTCCTGATATAGAAATGACCACAGTCAGACACTGAATATTTAGTTTTTCAGCTACATAATTCATGTTCATTCATTATATTTTGAAACACTTCACAACGTCCTGTTTCCTCGTCATCATCTGGTGCCGCAGCAGCCATTGATTTTCCTCCTCTGTGTTTGCTGACCTGATTGATTAGATCCCAGTTTCTGTTGTCAGGTCTTTGCCACGTGCATATGCTAGTGGGTTCACTGCTGTACGTGACTATATGAAAAGTGTACATGTGTTCAAAAGATTATTTATAGGCTTAGACATGATTCACAGCTGTATTAGTCTGGACAGGGCTGTGTGTGTGTGTGTGTGTGTGTGTGTGTGTGTGTGTGTGTGTGTGTGTGTGTGTGTGTGTGTGTGTGTGTGTGTGTGTGTGTGTGTGTGTGTGTGTGTGTGTGTGTGTGTGTGTGTGTGTGTGTGTGTGTGTGTGTGTGTGTGTGTGTGTGTGTGTGTGTGTGTGTGTGTGTGTGTGTGTGTGTGTGTGTGTGTGTGTGTGTGTGTGTGTGTGTGTGTGTGTGTGTGTGTGTGTGTGCTGACATTTGACTCCATGTTTAAATGTCATGTGGCACATACTGCACTGTGTCTTCTTCACTGTCTTTAAAACTTCCTGCAGCTCAGTTCTTATGACAGCAATGATGTCGCCAAGTCCCTGCAATCATAGTGACAGTGCTTTGTAAACAGCTGTTTCACTGGGTTTTGTTGTTAGTGACACGCCTAACCTCCAGTCTAAGAAACCTGTTTGCTGCTGTTGTCTGGACTCTCACCTGGAACAGGTCCAACACGGTAGAAACTGCCAGTAGGCACCCCCACCCACCACCAGTGTAAATACAGGATAATAATCATATCTCCTACATTCAGAACATAACATGTGTCTATGTAGCTGTTTTGTTACTTAAAGGGGACCTATCATGCAAAATGCACTTTTGTACGTCTTTTATACATGAATATGTGTCCCCGGTGTTCCAGGGAACTCACCAAGTGTCAGAAAACACAACCCTCTCTATTTTCCTCCATACCCAAATCTCTAAAAAAAGGGGCTGCAACGGATCTGATAAAAACTGATCCAGATTTGAACACTGTCCTGACGTCAGGACGGTGGCGCTACGGCTATTGGGCCAACTCCACCAATCAGGAGGAGACAGCCACGGCCATTGCCGTTCGAAAGCGCTGGAGACGCTGTAGTACATATGCCAGGCCTGTAGATGGTGCTGTTCTCACTGAATCAACCCTTGCTAAAACAGATCTAAAAAATGTCAAATTTAGCAAAATGAGGCATGGCTAAAATGCATGATCTGTTTGGTATTTTGAAAAAAAAAAAGTATAAATATGCCTTATATAGGTATGGTCCTACACTATATTATTCAAATATAGCATGATAGGTCCACTTTAAAATTAGTGTGTGCCCAGCTAAGATGAATCAACGTGCACCTTTTAATAGTTCTCCAGTATGTCACCTTGTCATTAATCTGTCTTGAAAAGTTCACACTTGATGCCACCCTCTCGCTTTTTCAGTCTGTAGTGTCTGTCCACCATTTGTTGAATTAAAAATGTAAATACATCCACAGCGAGCTCTGATATTAAAAGTCCTGCAAAGTACTGGCTGCTATCTATCAAATTATTTCCTGCACTGATCATACACTTTTTTCCAATTTTAAATAATTACAATGCAGTTTCTGCAACACACTGGCCCAGTGAGGCAACATTATTATTCTCCTCAGACAGTCAGGGGAACAGAAAACAGTGTCCAGTTCATTATGAAACATCAAGATTGTGTTAACTTGTATGTCTTTTATCTCAGAACAATGTCAGATTTTGTTCACATAATAAGTATTGGCAGCTATTTGTAGTGTTGTTTAAATGAAAAGAACATTAGCATAATTACACAATCACACATTAATAGTTAATGTCATCCAGGGGAATAATAACTGTTGGATGAGATGAGAAACTGATACGCCCTTATTTTGAAGTTCCCGACTCACAAAAATCACAAGGGTTATTTTTTTTTAATGTTTTAGCGTGTCTGTACGTTAATTGGGTGAATGACTTCTCAATCAAACACTGGTCTTTGTATTTAATGATTTAGATATCGTATCGTGGTGTCTTTGTCAAAACAGTAAAACATTGTATTGTTGTCCAAAGATTTTATTAAATATAGTTTTTGACATATTGAAATATGCTGATTAGATCAAGTTCTTCGAACATAACCCTGGCTTTATCTAGACGCAATTAAGGAAATATTGTGACATGTTATTGGTTTATAAACTTGTATCAAGTCAGAGGTCTCAAATTAGATAGTGATTAAGGTAATAATAAGTCATACATGTCTGTTTGTCCTATCAAAGCTAGAAAGATCACATTACTGACAAATACGTTTCAAAGGAAGACATCATCTCACTTAATAATACTATTACTGGAGGCTGATTTAATCACAGTTGTTATAATCAATAAACCATTATTTTGCTCATCCATTACCTTCATTCAGAAACAGATATGTTGTGAAGTTAACAAGCAGACAACCCAGATGTTGTCTCTCACAGGAAGATAGTTATATAAAACTGTAAAAGCCACGGTTGCAGATGCACATGTGTAATTTGTCGGAGGCAGTGAGCGCCCTGTAAGAGCCGAGGAGGGTCTTTGTTTGCTAATGTAGGTCTCCACTGAGGGGGGCGGCTGCATGGCCCGCTTTCTGGGACAGTTGTGCTGCGCATCACATGATGGGCTTGGCCTCGGGGCGAGTCAGCGAAGGAGTTTAAGATGGATGGATGGAAGAAGAGAGGTCGAGTGATGGGGACGTTTACTCTTGCCAGTTTCTCTTAGAATCAACTCCTGGTTACTGTTTTCACATCTGAACAGACCCACTGGACATCAGACTCCAGAGTTTGGTCTTTTACTAAATCTAAATATGTTCAAAGTATAAGATATGTTAGCCAGGGTCCCTCATAAAGGATTCCTCATTGTAAAATGCAGAAAAATACACATATATTCAGTCTTTGTACAGCACCAGCCAAAGTGTTGCTTAAAAACTGGTTTAAAGCTGAAAAAGAATCATTGATCAGACAACAAAAACTACATAAAAAAAAAAAAGGGAAATGAATGGCCCATTGAAGATTTAATATCTCAAGGTTTTGGACAAGGTCAAGGCTTTTCTGCCACTTTTATAGAATATGATTTCACCAGAGAAAAACAACTTTATAATGTGTGCTCCCCACTGCTTAACATCACCCAATATGCCCCGGTTGCTTCAGTCAACCTTGATGTTTACAAAATCAGTTAGTCCCTTGATATATTTCTTACACTGGGGAAGTTTTAGTCAAAATTCGAGGTTATTCGAGGTGCATCAAGAGAGATGTTGTAACCTTCCCATTCGTCAAACTTGTATTTTAACACTGAACCTCCATCTCTTTTTTTTCTTTGACAGGACATTGTGAGTGCTTCTAAAGATGTCTGATAGTGTTGATATTGAAGAGAAACCACCAGCCCCCCCCTTGAGAATGAACAGTAGTTCCCGAGACTCTTCACTCAATCACGCCACTAAACCTCTTCCAATGGCTCCTGAAGAGAAAAACAAGAAAGTCCGTCTGCGCTCCATCTTCCCCGGGGGAGACAAGAGTGAGTATCCTCCCCCGCACGTCACCCTCACCCCCCCGCCTCGCAGTGATACACAAAATGTACATTAACTCACTAGAAATCAGCCTGTAATCAATCTTTGCTTACTTCCTATAGCAAACAAGAAGAAGGAGAAGGAGCGTCCTGAGATATCCCTCCCCTCAGACTTTGAACACACCATTCATGTTGGCTTTGATGCTATAACAGGAGAATTCACAGTGAGTGTCTCTTTCTCCTGACATAAGACGTGCTTCTAAAATCTTCCCGTCTGAGAGCCGCAAGCATTTCCAAAATCACAATTCCCTAAAGTGATAAAAGTCAGATAATGATTTTATTTCCTCCACATAAAGTTGGTAAGACTAGTGACTTGAATAACAATTGCTCCATCTCCCCCATCAGGTGAAACTTGCTCTGGAATAATTTAGAGTTTATTGGTAAATGACATTTAGCTGCAGTTTCTGTTAGCAGTAGATGTGTTATTATCATAAAGCCTGGATATGTAATGACACAGTGTTACCTTCTTCTTTTATTGCTGGTTTAATATTCTTTACACTTCATTAGTTCATGTTTTTTCCCTTTTATTTAGAGAAAGTATTTTTCTTCTTTATAATAAACACCAACAATTAAGCACTCAAAGTTATATATAAGGACTGTTGCACTCAGTCATCTCTTTTAAAAAAATAAATCAATGCAACAGTTAAAACAAATCTCATAAAGCTTTTCATGTTTACTTTTTGATTCCAAAGAGATGTGTATTGCTTTAATTTAATAATTTCTTCTTATAAATGAGTTGCATTAATTTGAATGTATAATTGTTAATGATTAATTTTTGCAAACTTATAAATGTAAATGGTAACCATGTTTATTTATTTACTGTTAGGTAACATATTTTGGTTATGGAAATATGCTTTATAGCTAAATAAAGGAACCGTAATACAACACCAGGACTATTCTAAAACACAAAAGTCGTGTTTGTTATAGAACTGACAGGAATAATTATTATTTTCATAAAATAACTGAGAAAAATTACAAAAACCAATTCAGGAGCAGCGTACTGTGTTCTGCTCTATTTGACTTCAACTTGTCCATGACATCAGTTACAAAAAGTTCCATGTTCATTTGATACGCTATTTGCTTATGACGCACAGCACCCTTTAAGACAGTTCAAACCACAACACTTTGATTCCTCTTTGTCATGGTTTTCTGGGAGGATACACTACATTATTGGTGATAAGCTGCTGATAAGATGTGTGTAAAAATATCCACGTTTACAAAGCTAGCATGAATGAAACCCATCGTTCAGCTACATTCAGCCAGTGGGCATTAAAACAGGCAGGCCATAAAAAGAGAGTGGAAAAGCCTTCAAAGATAATTGCGACATTATGGGGAATACACTTTTGTATTGAGAGTTAAATTAAAAGCTAGACACTACATTTTAATTATATATGAAGCTATAGCCTGTTAGCTTAGCATTAAAAAGCACAAAACTCGAAAAATGTATATCTTTGGATCCTATAAAAGGGGACTCAGTTGCTGTCAACAGTTTCTTGCTGTGATCGAAGGCCTTTTAACATCCTACATCTTTTCCTCAAGAAGAAATGTCCATATTGTTGTTAAGATATTATAACTTTTAACATTTGACCTCTAATGGTGCAGGGTATCCCGGAGCAATGGGCCCGGCTCCTGCAGACCTCGAACATCACCAAACTGGAGCAGAAGAAGAACCCGCAGGCCGTGCTGGACGTCCTGAAGTTCTACGACTCCAAAGAGACCGTCAACAACCAGAAGTACATGAGCTTCACATCGGGAGGTAAGCAGCTTAAAAAAAACAGATAAAATAACAACCACCAGTTTAAATTCTAAATGTATTTAATGTCTAATACAAAAGATTAAAATAATTTCTCTTTTTTCAGACAAGTCGGCACATGGGTACATCGCAGCAAACACTCTGGTGAGTTCTTTTATATCCAAGCTTATATGGTTAGTGTTGGTTATAACCCTAAATAATGCATTTGATTCCTGTCAAGAAGCTGGAAAATACCATAAATTGAGTATCTGACACATTTATTTGTCAGTAAATAACAGTCAAACCACTATTTAACGCTCAGTTTTAAAGGAATCTAAATGTTGTTTATTGAAGATTCCCCTTTTTGTGGGAGGTTACTTTCTATGTCTGTTGTATTAGGAGTTGTATTGCTGCGCTGCATATCTCTCCCTCCCTAGACTGTCTGGTTTTTATAGTAAAACATTTAGAGTACAAATCATCCCAATCGGTGCACAAATCCCTGCCACATTTTATTGGAGAATCTCTCAACTCAAAGATATACTTCTTTATGATTCTCATACATCTAACATCGTGATAATTTAACAGGTAAATTGCAATATAATGTGGCTTTAATTCAGCGCCTTGAACCTCACAGCCTCTCTGTGATATACATCTCAAAATATACTACAGTAAATCTTTCTTTACTTTGCTCTGGGATTTTCTGGGATATACCGCCTTACTTTCTCGAACGCTTATTCCTGCCTCGAATGGGCCAAATGTGTGCGCTCCTCTCTAGAGGCTTACTGCCCTCACTATGCGGCATAATTCCCTCAATTTTTTTCGTGCCAGCCCCTGATTCTGCGGAAAACAGTGACTGCTGCGACAGCCACGGCTATCCATTGTTGATTTTTCCAATCTACTCAACCAGACTTTGAACTACCCATAGAAAAGCTCCAGTGGATGCTCAGCTGCATCTAGAAGGCCCCCCGCTGTGCTGACCTCATTCCTGGCTCTGACCAGAGTAATCTATGCTTTGAATGCCTCGGCCTGTGCACGCTCAGCCGGGTGAAGAAGTGGATCCAAGTCTGTTCAGTGGGACTCGCTGCCCCAGGCAAACTGCAATGGGATCACTTAATGCAGGCCTATTGCTGGAAAGAGCTTGGACGCTGAAGGCCGATCGGGTGTGGCAGTGATACTGAAGGGTTGTGTGAGGGCATTTGAGAGCATCTCAGCCTCAGACTGTCACTGCGCTCCTCAGCCTGCAGAGGTGACTCAGCTCTTGGCTTCAGTGCCACAGATTTCATCCTCACTTTGTTCCGCACTGTCTCAGGCAAGCAGAAAAAACAGGAGAGGTGCCAATATTTGTTCAAGCACACTGTCACTTTTCAGAGAGAAATAATAACCCAGCAGGAGCTACCTGATGCTCTCTGTCAGATTTAAACTCCAACATCTACCAACCTGCAATGAGAGCTAATGTGTGTCTGCTACAATCCACCCTGCAGTTTTTCCCATCTTGTTATTAAGTATTATACAAGACATTTAGTCAGACTGAAAAGAGAGTACTATCCACTATATTAAGATCTCTTTTTTAACTTATTTGAACATCATTTTAAGCCAGTCGTTCATTTTGTAGGCCGATCAGAAACCTCACCTTGACCTTAGCTCGACCTACAATCTTTAATTGTGCATAATGGCGCTGGGAACGCTGAGCTGCATCCTAATACAAGCGCTCGGTCAGGTTGTAATTACATTTTAGATTCCAGGATCTCATTATGACTCTACATCCTGAGCCTCATTTCCATTCTAACATGCTAAATATTGTCCTCAGTGTCCACCTCTAGCAATAATGAATTAGACGTTTAGCTGGACACAAAAACATTTCTTTGATTATACAAACTTGGTCTTGGTGTTTGTGCCCTGGTCTTACATGTGAGGAGTGTCCCCCATTTAGCCATCAGTTAAGACATATCTTTCATTTCATACGAGTCCCCCTAACAACCAGGAAGCCCTGAGAGTCACACCACAGCACTTATCTGTCAGCAACACAGACAGCCTGACCACTGATCACATAGCAGTGACAGTTTGAATATCAGAGAGTCTGAGTTCACAAAGACCTTTAAATCCAGCATGGTTGCTCTTTCAAGATTATACATGTTTGTGATGGATCTTAATAGAAACACTTAATGCAGTCTGTGTGCCTGTTATGAACCTTAGTAAACAAAGGAGCGGTTGGAGATTAATTGGTGTTGATTACTTAATTATGTTGGAATTATCAAGTCACTATTGATGTTTGCCATTTGTCAGATCAAGTTCTTGTTAGTTCAGTCAGGTCTAAGCTCTGTCCTTGTTGGCCCTAAAAAGCTTTTTACATTTCATCAATTACATGTTATCCAAATAAATACCACAACATTGTGTTCAATAACAAGCTGACAGTTAACTGAGAGTTGTTCAAGTCAAACTAAGTGATGGGTTTCCAACTAAGCAAATGGACAAAGTTGAAACAAGAGCCGCTCCTTAATTAGTTGTATATGCCGGGATAATGTGTATAATGTGTACCAGACTATAATTGTGGTTTTTAATCAATTTCCTCTTTAACATGTCAACAGGAACTTTTAATTCAGGTAACAGAGCAAGACAGGTGCATGAACAGAAATGGAAACTAGTATCATTCAATTAAAAACATCGCCAAAGATAGGTTGGGCAAAGATAGTCCTCAGGCGGCACATTGTGTCTCCATCATGTCCTCTTGTCCTGCTGGGTTTCAGGAGGAACATTTAGACGTTTAGTCCACCCCTCAGCAGCGAGACCCCTGCCCTCCCCTGAAGTCCCCTTACTCTCAAACAGTGTGTGGGTTTGTTTTGAGTAAATCCTCCCATTTTCAACCCTCACATTCAGAACCGGCTGCTGTCATCTGGGCCTCCTGTCAGCCTTAGAACCTGCAGCGCATTATTTGACAAGGTAACTCCTCCATATTACTTTCCACATAATGTATCTCTGCATTGGCCTCGAAGCTAAATTTGATCTCCTAATTCTGATTATTCCAACTGAAAAAACACATATAAATATCTGATGTATTGAAATTCTATGGGGGATGTATTTGGATCTATTAGTTTTTGATGTTACTGATGTATTTACTATCTTCCACAAGCGCACCTCTTATATTTTTCTTTTCTAACGGACCGTCTCTGAAATGGCGGGGCAGGGGCGCATGCCACAGAGGGTTGTGATGACTTTCATGTATGAGCTCATATTCTTTACAGTTTCCAATAATGTACCGTCATCACCGTTATAAACATTACCGCATGGCTCTGCAAAAAAGAAAAGAGGCTCTGCTTACATTTTAGAAAGACACTCTTTCCTGCACTGCAGTCTTGGCCTTCCTTGGAGCGCTTCAGAGGCCCAGTGTGTCTGAATGGAGGACTGAGACTTTCCTTCAGACAGACCCTTTCCCTTTAATCACCAGAACTAAGCTGCACTGCTTCATTTATGCATGACGAGGCTGGAAATGGATGAAATGTTTCCACTCCATAAGAGGATGATGATCCAGGGCTAGCAGGGTTTGGATGGGGGGGGGGGATAAAAGCTGAGCATTAGGCATAATAAATATGCCTGAAGCTTTTTAATCAGACTTGTTAAAAGGTATCTACCATATGAAGAGGACGTCCACAGCTCATCACCATATTGCACCAGTACTGCAATGTGGTGGCATATTTCTCCTGTGTTTCTTTAAAATGCATTCTCATTGTTGGTGGCACACCTGACTTAATGTAAAAAACGCACTGGATGGCACCTCACACTTTAAATGCTAACCCCTTTAGCTCTCAGCTTAATCCTAATACTACCTTTATTATTAACCCAACTAATCCTGACAATTTTGCCCCATTCGTTTTCTTCTTTCCACAAAATCTGTATCAAAACAGATGAATTGTGTTTTGTTTATGTTGTTCCCATGTGCTAATTAACATCATCACCTTTGACTTACTGTTATATCGTTTAGTCACCTTCACTACAGCTTGTGTGTGAGACAAAGTTTATATTGAAACTCCCATGGCCGGGAACTTTGTTTACTGCTGGTGTGGAGTTTGCTGACTCTTCATCGCTATAAACATTCAAAATATCCGGATCAGCAAATATTCTAAATGCTACTAGAGGGCACATGCATCCCTTCTTACTTACATCTCTACCCTCCAGGGTGCCAAAACATCATCGTCAGAGCCTCCAATCGCTCCACCTGTGTCAGAAGAAGAGGATGAGGAAGAAGAGGAAGAGGAGGAAGAAGAGGAAGAAGAGGAAGATGACGACGAACTGCCCCCGGTCGTCGCACCTCGGCCCGAACACACCAAATCTGTGAGTTTGGACGGCGTGCTGAGTTGAAATCACTCTGCTGCAAATCCAAAACCCCCCCTCTTAATTTCTTTGACTCTTCTCTCCTCGCAGATCTACACGCGCTCCGTCTTGGAGCCCAAGCCCCCGACCCCCGTGAAGGAAGTGGTGACTCCCCCAGAGTCGCTGGTCCAGCCCGACAACATGTCCAACACGATGTACCGCCACACTGACCGCCAGAGGAAGAAGTCCAAAATGACAGATGAGGAGATTCTGGAGAGACTCAGTACGTGTTTTTTTTATGTTGACTTCTCCTAGTTTTAAAGGCTGATTACACCGAAATGTCATTGTGTATATATTTGTATAAGCACAAATAGTCAACCGTACAATATTTGGGGTATTCGGTACGAAACTGCAGCATTTGATACAAAACTACAAATAATATTACATGTTTTCCTTGTCTAACAGCCCCAGTAGAAGTCCTTAACTCTCTGATTATTTCATCTTTATTTTGTAAAAAACACTTAAAGATATCATGGAGTCTTCAAAATATAGTTATCTTCCATAATTGAAGAATGTGACGTTCTTTGAATCTCAGTAACTGTTTTCAACGCATTATTTTGTGCATTCATATTTTGTATTTAGAAAAATCGTTACCAGAGAACTGTCAACACCCCATTTTGACAACAAAAATCTTATTACACTGATTATGGCCTTCCCTTAAAGCACTACCCCCTCTTTACTGACACGTCAGCCCTAGTTACCGACAGGCACCGCTAAGTACAGATGCATGTACTTAAAGTAGCTGCACTGCAAGGCAGGGTAATTCTGAAAGAGAAAGGCAGACGGTTCTGTGGTTATGTTATTTGTGTATTTGTGTGTTTGTGTGAGCGCCTCACATGACTTCGTGCACCACACACAAGCTCAATCATCATATATCTGCTCTCTCTCTGACTCAGGGAGTATTGTGAGCGTGGGGGATCCCAAAAAGAAGTACACACGCTTCGAGAAAATAGGACAGGGGTAAGTCTATCTGCGTTCATAAATCGGTCGTCACAGTTATTGAAATAGAGCAATTTCAGGAGCAGTCAGTCTCTCCAGAAGAGATGCAGCCGTAGTGGCCGCTCCAGTGAGGCAGAGGGAGGGTTGAATGAACGAGAGAAAAAATAAATAGAGGAGAAATGTGAACTGTATCCTGACATGGCCATGGGACAGATACAAACTGTGTGGTTGTTATCTGCTCGGACATCCTCACTATTTCCATATTTGATCAGGAAGCTCCTGTCTGCAACAAAGAGATTACTGTCTATTTCTTCTCTGCTGGGTCATCTTTAACTTATTAGCAGGCGGTCAGGAACTGTGGACCATCATGAATAACTTCTGACAGCACACAGGTTTATCTGGCAGCAAAACAAAGAGGAAAAACCAGAAGCCTGAATTCACAGCTGAAAGTTTTTAGTATCATGAGATACACTTCCTAATAAGGACAGAGCGGCTGCATACCATTCAGTTGACCAGCTATTGGAAACTGTACATTACTTGTGTGTGCTCATTCCTGCTAAGGTAATTCAAGAGTGGTTCTGTTGTCATGGTAAAATGAGCACATGCAGTATATTGAGGAAGAGCCCAAAAAACTTCTACTGCCAAAATAACTTTTAAACCTATGAAATACTTGGCCTAATTTTCTCAGTGCAAGGGTATAGCATGAGCCAAAGAAGAACCCATTTCATTTTGGAAAGGATCTGTATCACAAAGCGGATACATAAGTGCTTTTTCCTCTTAGCAAGGTCTGTGCTCTCCAACTGCCTTTTACGAATTCATGACATAATCGCAACTTAAAGTTTGTCAATTATATTAATTGTAAAGGCACAAAGCTGTAGTTGCGCCAACGTGATAACTTTCTCCTTAATATAATATGTATAACACAGTTAAATTAAGTTATAGACCAATGTGTCTGTGGTCTGACTTTTAAAAAAACATCTGATGTGTTAACCTAAAATTGGTTTGATCAGGTTAGTATAGACGTTTATGGGACAATACACTTATCACCTGTCGTGGCAACTCAAAATGATGGTGAACATATTCAACATATGGTATAAGATTCTATATAGAAAATGTTAAATATGTTACAACACTATTTAGTTTGAGTTAGAACAGTGATATATGTTATGTTATGATTATTATTCTCAGAGTAGTTTTAAAACTTTTGATGACATATCATTAATGTGATTTTGATCTTATTTATCCCCAGAGCGTCCGGCACTGTGTACACTGCTATCGACATAGCAACTGGCCAAGAGGTAAGGCAGCTCTAATGTTGGTTTTATAAACGCTCGCTCACTGTATATTATTCATTTTTCCTCCCATAATCCATCAGGATTTACGTTGTTCTGAGCCACAAATTCCTCGTCTGTTTTCTCAGGTGGCCATCAAGCAGATGAACCTGCAGCAGCAGCCCAAGAAAGAGCTGATCATCAATGAGATCCTGGTGATGAGGGAAAACAAAAACTCCAATATAGTGAACTACCTGGACAGGTCAGTTTTCACACGTGATTATAAGCCTGAACTCAAGGCCCTTTTATAGGTTTTTTTTGTCTATTGCCTCAAATATAGAATCTTAAGGCCATCACATTTGCCAAGGTGCTTTCCTCAAACTGCAGTCAAAAACCTAAAGCTTTTTTAATGTTCTGTTGCATAACAGATGGAAAAGCAGCAAGTCCTCACATTGGAGGACCTGAAACCAGCATATATTTGGGTTTTTTGCTTTATAGAGGGCAATTCCTTTAACCATTCATTGTTGCTGTCAATTACTTTTCTCTAATATGACATGAACAGGTTATTATTGCTTTTTCAGCATATAGAAAATGTAGCATTTATTGTTATTCTAAAATAATCTAAGGTTATGATATCTCATCTAAGGCCATCACATTTGCCAAGGTGCTTTCCTCAAACTGCAGTCAAAAACCTAAAGCTTTTTTAATGTTCTGTTGCATAACAGATGGAAAAGCAGCAAGTCCTCACATTGGAGGACCTGAAACCAGCATATATTTGGGTTTTTTGCTTTATAGAGGGCAATTCCTTTAACCATTCATTGTTGCTGTCAATTACTTTTCTCTAATATGACATGAACAGGTTATTATTGCTTTTTCAGCATATAGAAAATGTAGCATTTATTGTTATTCTAAAATAATCTAAGGTTATGATATCTCATCTAATGCATTACATTACATTACATTGCATTTAGCTGACGCTTTTATCCAAAGCGACTTACAATAAGTGTATTCGACCAAGAAGATACAAACTTGAAGAAGACAGAATCATATAAGTACATTAGGTTTCATAGAGACAAACCATTTTAAGTGTTACTCAACTGGCTTTAGATAAGCCAGTCCTTTGTTAGTATATAAGTGCTTTGTTAGTATATAAGTGTGTAGTTAGTATATAAGTGTTTAGTTAGTATATGAGTGCTGACATGAGTCACTGGGTGTTTCTCAATCTCGAGTAAAGCTGCTGCAGAGCCACTATTTCAAGCATACTACGTCATCGAGTGCCGCCGAAGGACTGTTCCAATCTCCAGCATACTTGGAAATCTACTGAGCCCGGCGTACTTCGTTAGGAGAAATGTCGAGGCTGCACATGTGTAGACTCCGCAGTCTTAAAATCCCCACAATGCTTTGCGCACGGATCAATATCCCCAAATCTGTGGCGGAAGATGTAAGGCGGGGTCTCTCATATGACGCACACCTGCACACTTGCTAGCCTGTTCCACTCTTTGTTTTCCAAATGTCAGGAAGTATTCTTGACTCGCTTCTGAAGCAAGATGCTCGGAAGACATGTGCTACCAAGCAAGCGTACTCGCGATTGAGAAACACCCACTGCATTGGCCAAAGCAACTGGTTTGGGGTCATTTATGACACTGAAGGATCATCTAAGTCTTTCTGATCAGTTTTCTTCCTCATCACATCCGTCTCCTCCTTCTTTTAATGGTGGTCAGCATTTATCATTTAGCACATGACTGCCACCTGCTGTTTTAAAACACAGAGAACAATTTGACTAAATAAGTTGATGTCATTGTTTTAAGCATCTGTTCCTCTCAGCTCTGATTTCATTATGTTGGTCTTTCTGCTGGTCCCAGCTGGCAGTAACATGCTTGATCACCTACTGTGTGTTGTAATCGACTCTGCATCATGAAGCTCACTCACCTTTAATTTAAAATATGCAACAGCTGCTCTACGCTCTTCTTCTTAGGAGGTTTTCTTCTCATTTGTTCTGCCTATGCGCCAAATGTCAATATAACAACAGATGATTAAAGCAACAACTGAACTGAAACCCCCAACATGAAATGCGTGTCACTCTAAAACTACAATTTTCTCTCTGGCTTGTTATTAGTTACCTGGTAGGAGATGAGCTATGGGTGGTGATGGAGTATTTGGCCGGTGGCTCGCTGACTGATGTAGTGACTGAGACCTGCATGGACGAGGGCCAGATAGCTGCAGTCTGCAGAGAGGTAAGAAGCCAAGTTTACACATCAGCAATTCTCCTGTGGCTACACTCAGCTGACCCTTACATCTAATGTACACAGGCACATTTAAACACTCAAACCAGCCTGGAGATAAAAAAACAAATGTGTGTGTAGTACAGGCTTCATTGGCATTGGAATATCTGATTCAAACACTTTTCTCCGCTCTCTTCAGTGTCTTCAAGCCCTGGATTTCCTACACTCCAACCAGGTGATCCACAGAGATATAAAAAGTGACAACATCCTCTTGGGAATGGACGGATCCGTCAAGCTTAGTAAGTCTTTTTTTTCAAACATATACATTTATTTTTAGTGTGGTAAAGTCAAAAGCAGCATTTTTTTTATTAGTTTGTTGAATTAAACACCACTGTTATGTTATTTCCCTTTCCTGTAGTGTGTTAGAAAGGTTTGTGTGCATGTACATGGTCTGCAAATGTTAATATCTCAAAGTTCTCTCCAGAGAGAGTTTCATAACACAATTACATCACTATGTAACACTAGCGCTTCTATTGGTTAGCACTCCAACATATTGTACGTGATTAGGGTCAGCACATCTCTAAGCGGTTGACCAATCACAACAGAGCTGGCCAGCTAACCAATCAGAGCAGACTGGGCTCTGGTTTCAGACAGAGGCTGAAAATGAGACAAATAAAGAGCTTTTTGAACATTAAAGCATGTAAACATGTCACAGTAGAGGCACAACATTAAAATATGAACCTGAAAATCAGCATCATATGTCCCCTTTATATTCAAATAAGGGTACGTGCAAAGTGAAACTGTTATTTAATGTGATAAAGCAGACAAAGAACATACAACTTCACTGCACTTCTCTCTTCCTCTGCAGCCGACTTCGGCTTCTGCGCTCAGATCACTCCGGAGCAGAACAAGCGCAGCACGATGGTGGGAACGCCCTACTGGATGGCCCCGGAGGTGGTGACTCGGAAGGCTTATGGCCCGAAAGTGGATATCTGGTCTCTGGGGATCATGGCCATAGAGATGGTGGAGGGAGAGCCGCCCTACCTGAATGAGAATCCACTCAGGGTAAGACACAAAGTGCAGCCATAAGCACGGGACGCAGGATGTTAGCTCCCCAGGGGTCATACAGAATGCATAGATATTAAATATTTAGATTTCTTTTTTACTTCTTATGGAGGTCTCATTTGATGGTCTGCCTGACCTCTTCCTTGTTCCCAGGCGCTGTACCTGATAGCTACCAACGGGACCCCCGAGCTGCAGAACCCAGAGAGGCTCTCCTCGGTGTTCAGAGACTTCCTCAACCGCTGTCTGGAGATGGATGTGGACCGCAGAGGCTCTGCCAAGGAGCTGCTCCAGGTAACGCTTTGACCTTTTGAGAACCAAGCATTGTTGATGTAAACACAGTCACATCCAGAAGGAAAACGTTTTTTTTTTTAAAGAAATGTAAATAAGTTCATGGAGAGCTACAGGTCGCCTCTTTGCTACTTAATATTCAAGGATTCAAGGCTTTTATTGTCATTTTGTACATCGCTAAAGTGTAGATATGTCACTGAAAAGCTTAGGTCACAGGCAGCAGTGCAACACAATAAAACTGATCAAATAGTGCAAGTAAATACAAATAAAATTGAATAGAATTAGAAATCAGAAACGGATTTATTGCCAGGTAGGTTGACACGTACGAGGAATTTGACTTGATTTCATGGTGCATACATAAAAGTAAAACAAAATAAAAAAACACAGATAGAGAACTATTTTAAGAAAACTATAATAACATTAAGAAATGTAAAAAAATAATAAAAAATATAGCAGTATTTACATAGAAATAGAATGGAATAAGACTCTGTATACAAATATATGGAATATGATATATTGGATAAATAATGTGTAAGTTGCAAACAGATGAATGTTATGGATGTTCGTTCAAAGGTTCAGGTGTTTAACGGTCTTATGGCCTGTGGAATGAAACTGTCCCTGAGTCTGGTGCTGATGAAGCTTAAGAGCTCTGTTTTGCTGCTCTTTTTACGTTGTGAAGAAGTCAAATCATCACCAAAAATCAAGTATTTATAATTCCGAAACATCTCTCTTTTGCTCCATATATATATATATAAATAATGTGTTCTTCTTTGTCCTCTGCAGCATTCCTTCCTCAAGCTGGCGAAGCCTCTGTCCAGCCTGACGCCTCTGATTGTAGCTGCGAAGGAAGCCATAAAGAACAGCAGTCGCTAGTGCGTGCCCTCTGTCCCCACCCGAGGCTGGAGCCCTGCCTGGGATGTGTGCGTTTCATGGGGGGCAGGGGCTTGGGTGTATGGGTGGTGGGTGACGTGACAGCACAAGGATGGGGGGTTTTGTGTGACTTACCGTGACAGCACGAGGACAAAAGACCCCCAGGCCTCAGACGTAGGACGGACATCTGGCCTTGCAGCTCTCGGGCCCAACGCTGCTGAAAAGACCTTGCCTCCTTGTTTACTTCTCCAGCACTCTGTACATGTAGAGCAGTCCATCACAAGTGTGTGTGTGTGTGTGTGTCTGAGTGCGTGTGTGTGTGTGTGTGTGTGTGTGTGTGGGTACCAATTGTGCACATCTGTTTATGTCATATGTCTTGTTTGGCAGCACTTGCTCCCGAAACCAAGATAATACGGTGAAAAAATCCAAAAGAACAAGCTCGTTTTCAAGAAGTAACTTCCGGAGCGCAGAGACTGGGAAACTGACACAACCGAAGAGCCCGTGTTATCTTCGCTGCCCGGCTGTAGGCTTGGTTTTCCTTCCCTCCATGGAGCACAATCAGGCCACACTTGCACCTTTTAGTGACCATCTGATGTGAGAAAGTGACTCCGGACCCGACCTTTGCCTGCATGACTACGGCTCTGTGGAGAAACACTGCTCCTCCTCTGCAGATTGTAACATCTCGAGGTGGCATATTTGTGTGTATGTGTGTGTGAGTGTGTGTAGGGGTGCAGCTACAGGGGAATAAGTCAGGTATAATTTCACATGACCTATGCCAGCTTTAAACATCCTTCATTTATCCCTTTCATATCAGTGAAGAGATACGGGTCCCGTATTTTATTTAAGCCAAATTCTGTTACCTGCCGTTCATTTCTCTCTAAAACTGGCAACATAATGGTTTGCCTGCATGTAACATCGAATTTAAAACATTTGTGACTCAACTGTAGATCGCACAGGTACAAAAATGTATACACTTGTGCTTTCTTATCAATTTCAAGTGTTGTGATGTAGATAGAGACACTTGAAGTGTGACAAATAGGGTTATCCATATAGCTATTCAGTTTGTGTCACTGTGACAGGCTTTGGGGGAGATATTTCAACATCTATGTTAATCGAGCCATTCTGTGTATTACATTTGACAATTAGCTATATAATAGAAATCCAAATACTGGATCAAAGACTCAAAAGAAATGATACATGTTTTTATTTTTAAATATCTATATTAAAGGTGCTTGCATACAGTGGACCAGTCTTTCTAATTACATGTTTTTCTACAACAGTGGCAAACAGAAGGATGTGTAATTATTGACCTACATTGAGTTGAAGGTCTAATGCCGCCCATTCTCACAGTTTCCCACAGTGCCCCACGCATCCCTGTGACCTTAAACCTTAAACAGGAAGGATGACGCTTGGCAACAACATAAAGATAATACTCTGAATATACGGTATATTTATTCCAACATTGTTAGTCGGATCAGCAAACTGCAACAGGTAGAAAAACATTGATTATTGAATCCATTATTTATAGTGACTTAAATGTAAAATGCAGATTCAATAAGATTATTCTCCCATTTGGAAAAGTACTGTTTAGTGGTCTTACTAGTATCCAACATTACAGAATACAATACGCAACTGTGACTATACATGATGAGGTTGAAGGCCTATCTGTTAAGGTTAAACATTAATGTCTAATGAGGAAACAGGAACCCACTGTCCTCCCGGCCCACCTGCCCCCCCGTCTTCTCATGTTGGTTTTCAGGCTGCTCACTCAGTGTCCTTTTGTCTTTTAATGGTGTCTTATGTGTGTTTCTGTCATATGATCCGTACGTTTTGTAGTGGGCTTTTGGAACGCGTGGCGGATCAAAGAGGGGGAATGTTATCCACTGAGTGAAGGAGGGAGTGGAGTGGAGTGGATGCCATTTTATGATTGTACCTTATCCTAATGAGCGCTGGAAACAGAAACCGAAGAAGAGGTTCATTTTGTTGCTAACATTCCTTCCACTCTTGGTTAGCGTTTCATCTCATTCCTGTCCAGAGGTTATCTACATTGTGTCGGTATTTGGTAGCTTCGTCAGGCTTTTCCCGTGTAGCATCCCTCTGTGTGTGAGTGTGTGTGTTAGAGGGGCTACCTCAATCTGCACTAGAAGATGCCTCACTCGTGTTGTCCACCTTGACTTTGAGGTGCAGAGTAGCTGCTGAGTCATATTGTACCTCCATTTTACAGCAAGTGAACAGAAGGTGGAGTGATGTTAGACAGGAGGGTGCAACAGAATCCATGCATGTAAAACAAACTATACACTGTATCCCATCTTCAAATAGGTTAAGATTGTTAGGATATGTATGTATGTATGTAAATATGATGGGAAAACCCCCCTTTTTTCAGAATGACGTAACTTTAAATGACAATATTCAGGTTGCTCTATGGTATGTATCGATAAATGTTTTGCACCCTGAAAATCAAAAAAGAGAAAAACGAACACACACTCCGCAATCCTGGATCCGGCTCTATGGGACACACAGTCTTGTCAGTACCACTGCTGAGTGTTAGTACATGTGTGTGTGTGTGGCTGGACTGACATGAAGCTCCGCCGGCCCCCGTTTGGCCCCCCCCCCCGCCCCCATGTACAGGTCTGAACTATGAGCACAAAGGTGAATTTTGGGACAAGAGGCACCGCCGACGTGCCCCTCTTCTGTGGTTGCTCCTGTACATTCCTATCTTCTGAATGTGTAAACCTGTACACGTGGTGTGAAAATTCCTCTATTAATGTGTATCAAGAGAATGGAACAAAGACAAAAAATGTTACTTTTTAAATTATTATCATTATTATTATTACTCTTATTATTGTCTAGCTTTGTAAAAACTGCTGATCCATCTGGCATACCTCAGCAGGCCTTTCCCCATCTTTGAAAAAGGACAAACAAGCGACGGGGAAATGAGGTTTTGGATCAACTATTTTTAATCGTGGTTGAAGCAATAGACTTTTTGAACTTTGAATTGTGCATGGCTGTGTCTTGAGTGTAAAAAAAACAAACAAAATATTGCAGTTTGGGAACTGGACTGAAATAAAGAGGAAGAAAAACCAGAGCTGTGTTAATACTGGTTGTCTCATGTGATTCTTGGATTTCTTTTATTAGTTATGCCATGTCAATGAAAAAAAGGATTAGAAAATTCATCAAAGAATAGATGATACTTTAATCATGTTGTGCACACAGTACATTGTTCTGCATAAAAGGTGCTATTTAAGGACAAAAGTATAACTAATGTATTTTAAGACTTGAATGACATATCTGCCATAAAACTCACAGTATCTGTAGTAATAGTAATAAAAAGAGAACATCTTTTCAAAATGTCAATATACAAATATGTTACATAAAAAGGATTTGAAAGGTGATTAAGATAACTCGAGATTAAACATTAAGATAGGAATGACAGGAATTGCCTGCTCACATCTCAACTTCGCAAACAATTCCCCAACGTGCAAATACAAATGTAAAATAAAAGCGTGGACATCCAGCGTGACAAAGAGAGTGTTTATGGGGCTTTGATGATGACACATGCTAAGTGAGATGTTCATCAGTGAAAAAGCCCTCACTAAAGTCACTGAGACGATCACATGGCGGTCAGCTGAGTAGAAGTGACGATCCTCACACTGATGGTCCCCGGCATCTCGTCCGCCATCTGCCGTCCTCTCTTCCTCAGCTGGAGCCTCTGAGGGCTGGAGGTGTCCTTCACCGAGCCCGACAGAACCACCTGGCCCATGAACTCGTCCTTCACCGGGTTGCTGTTCCACACCTGAGGAACACCCGTCATGTGTTACAAACTAACCACAGATCATCTCGGCTACTCTGATTTCATTATGTTGAGCGTTAACAGGCAAGGATGATGTTCTGTGCTCTCAATTACTGCAGATTACAAGCCGCTATCACATTGTCAGTTGACCTTTTATTATGTGAGCTTCTGTAGTTCATTGATCTATTCTTTTCATTTTACTATTATCATTAGTTTTTGTGAGCACTGAATACAAATAAAAAAGACTGCACAAAAAAATGTAGTGTCTGTATAATCAACATTACGTTGTTTGGTTGTAGGAATAAAGGCATTTTGGAAACTAATCCTGTTCATATAGTAAAATCCAAGCCCTATTATTATTAATAATAGTTTGCTTTGCAGATTAAAAATCACTAGCAACCATGGTGAAGTTAGCTTTAGGTAAAATAATCGACAGACATTCAACTCCAAATCAATCGGATTCTTGTTCAGTTTCACAAATTGTTGACAATGAGAGGGTTTCACCATAAAGAAATGACTGTTTGAATGCTGAGACAGCTTCATTACAGTCACAAGGAGCAGAGGGATGCCATCTTACCTCCACTGTTATGGGCTTTCTGAGCTTCTTCCTGAAGAAAATTGCGCTTGTTGTAAACTCTGGATTCAGGGTGTCCTTTTTGATGGTGGATCGTACAGACCGGCCCTCGCAGTGAATGATCACATACGGGTCTGCACCTGCAGGAACACATGGAAAGTTCCAAGTCAGAAAACCATATACAGGCTGATCAGTACATTTAGGGTAAGAGTCATTTGTTCAAGTCCTCTGACCTCCAGTGCTGTCCTGGTTCTGCAGCTCCCCGGCTCCGTGCACGTAGACGTGAGTCACAGCTTGCGGGTATCCAAGGAATGAACTCCAGCATTTAACCTGCGGCTTATCTTCTGCCAGCTCCCTGTGAGAGATGAGAAGTTAGACACCATGAGAAAAGTACTTGATACTCTACTCTAGATCTAGCTACTGTATAATCAAACATGGTAAGTGTAATTATGTCTAATACACACAACAAGTTGGATTACCCAGCCTGGATGACCTGAATGTGTGAGCAAACATGATTTGGTTCTGGTTTGCCAACATGAACAATCAAAACAAAAAACATAAAATCATCGCCTAAGATAAGCAGAATGAGATGAGATATTACTTTCCAAGTGATTTAATGTGAACATAATTGTAAAGTATCTGAAACAGTAATTATGGGTGTTTTCCTTGGATATAATCCCTCAGACATTAGTGTCTGAATGGAACAATCAAGGAACAGCTGTGTTCCTGCTTTCCCTGCAGAGTCTCTTAAAACCTGATTATTGTAAGATAAGTGAATATTGACATCATAAAACCCAGCCATGCTGCGGATTTAAAATGAAAAGCAGTCCCCGGTCAGACGTCACAGCTCAACCACAGTCGTACCTGCAGCCTGAGTCCACGTCGGTGAAAACTCGGATCATGTAATCCCCCAGAATGTAAGGCTTGAAGGTGGTGGGGATGATGACGTAGCGGCCCTGCTCCAGCGTGCATCTCATGAACACCGTCCGAGCGTTGATGAAGGTCGACGTCTGCACAACCTGCTGGGTCAGGATGTCGTGCATCCTGTACTTCCTGTTTAGTTCCACCTGGAGAAGGAAAATCATTTGGGCTGATTCAGTGTTTATTTCAAATACTGAACAAATGACTAACTTTACTCACTAGTGTGTCATTGTATTTAGGCTACCTTTGCTGTACTTTGGTGAATTCCCAAAACAGATTCTCTCTGATTCAGATGTACAATTAAATGTAAAGGGTTTTCACTGTTTTAAGAGTTATAGTTTACTTTTTGCTGCTTGCATAGATTCTTTCTGCCTCCTGGTGGTAGAATAATGAACTAAACTTGAATTTAACACAAATGTCTAATGTATTTCACTGTTGATAAAGAGCAATAATCAATACTCATTCTTTAGCCAGTCATAGGTTAACATCATAATCATAATCCTCCTCCAGGCTTTCACTGAATGCTGGGATGCCCTTAAATGTCCACGTATAGGCACTTTTCACTGAAGGCATTTGGACTTGTCATCACAGGTGTATAATAACAATAATATTGGCCCTGTTCCTTTTAGATGGAACAGGGTAGTGCGCATGCTGGCTCACTTGAAAGGTTGTGACACCAAACATAATTTGTACCATTAACTGCATGTGTGAAAGTACTCCTTTAACTAAAAATACATAAAACAGTGACAACAAAACACAGAACGTCGACAGTGTCTGGAGTCCGTCAGATAAAGATAGCTCTTGCTGGCTTAATGACAGTAGTCGACAAGGGTTACATTCAGGTCCAGACTCACAGGCCTGCTTTCATTTTTTTTTTTAAGTCACATGCTCCTAAGGCACCCTTCAGCATGTACTGCTGTCCAGAACCTCCCCCTTTGGCAGCACTTCAGACAGTATGATAAGAGTGTGTTTAAACTTAGCCACATCTCTGACATTAATATCTCATTACAGGAAACGTGATGTCAGGTTTAAAGCAGCTGGACTGCTTTGACATTGCAGTTAATTATGACCTATACTGAATCACAATAGCGAGGTTAATTTGTCTTTAAAAAAACCTTCCAGTTCGAAATAAATCTATTATATACCTCTAATAATGCATGAGACTTCTGTCATGTCCTATACAAGAGAACAGCCGACTGAACTCTTTGCAGCTTACTAGGAGTTGGGAAGAAATTGTCACTAATGTGTTTGTTTCCACTTTGCCGTTCAGCTTGAAACAATCAAGTAAAGTATGTGCATTCGTCATGTTTAATCCTGTATGATTTAGCCTGCTGTTGAAATGGTCTGTCTTGGTTCTGATATGGAGTAATGTCTGCCGGTCACTAAAATCACCCAAACAACTGTTCAATGTTTGCTCAACAAATGAGTAGAAGAGTCAGAACGCAGCCAAGATTCTTAGACCAAAAGGAAAGCCAAAATGTGATGAAATGATCCTGTTCTCCCACAAATAAACGGACCCTTCACTAACGTTTGATCCCACATGAACCCCGTTTCCTCTGTAATTGACTCATGTCTGGTGAGTCTTGCCATGTACTTTGTGCAACATTTCACAAACCCTTTGAATCTTTACTGTTATAAACCCCTGCTGTATAATGTAATGTGCAGTTATCAACAGTTCATTGATTAGATCAATACAATTTGGTGAACACTATATTTTACCTTGATGACATTAAAGCCAATGGTAATGTTTTCTCCTTGACCAAATCGTCTGTGGATCTTCATATCTTTTTGTTGCAAGGAGATCAGGACCTCATCGGACTCCTTTGTAACATCAAACAAGAACTGTAAAAAGCAAATTAGTGAAAATAGATCCATAAATGTGTGTTTATATAAGTTTACATGTGTCTGAACACAGGTGATGTGAGGAGAGTGTACCTGTGGGTTCTGCAGGAAGGTGGGCTTGTGGTTGGCACAGCCCCCGCAGCGGTTCAAAAGCGGCTCTGCGTTTTTGGTCCAACTCCCAAAGTGCACAACCTCATTCCACGTCTTGTTGACACTGATCAGGGCAGTATTGATAACACGGCAAACATCTGCATTAGTGAAGAACTTGCACCAGTCTGCAAATGACATCCTGTGGACGAGAGCACAAAATGCATTTATACAATCTGAAAGAAGAGGTCAACTGTTAAGATTCAGAAGAGCTTAAATCGCTCACCAGAACTCCCCATCGTCCGCTACGGTGATGTCGAGGTTTCCCCTTTCCATATCACCAACCTTCAACCATTCCTCAGAGCTGACAAACCAACAAGAACAAAACAAATTAATGCACTCATAAATTACTAGTAGAGATACATTGTTTTAGAGTTAAACTCCAGACAACACCCACATTTTGATTTGTAAAATGTGGCTATAAGAAGATTGTATTTTAAAAGAATTACCACAGGTCAGATATAGGGTTACAACCAGCCACAACGCAGACTCTATGCATTACATTAATTCACACAATGTTGACAATATTGCTTACTGCACATATATATATATTTATTTTTTTATTCTATATTTTATTGCATTCTATTTCAATGTAAATTACTGCTTTATTTTATTTCTATCTTCCTATATTTATATTACAGTGTTCTTAATATAGTTCGCTATCTGTGTTCTGTTTTATATATTTTTTTTTTTTTTTTATGTATGCACCACGACACCTAGTCAAATTCCTCGTACGTGTGAACCTACCTGGTAATAAACCCGTTTCTGATTCTGATATAGATTTGAAATATGATTTAATTGGCTCTTCTGA